AATTGTTCTCAATCAAAAATAATTTACACTTGGTTAGATTATGAGCTCTCCGTATAACGTTATATACGCTGTCTCGTATTCTGATATTTCATTGTAATAAGTTACTATTAATAGAAACTGGTGAATATTTAAATGGAATATTTAAATGGAGACTTGATCAATTGTAATACATGTGGACACGAGCAATGTAAGTCATGAAATCTAAGTCGCGATGCAAATGGTTTAATGAATAATGTATACATTTTATAATACAGTACTTTATGTCCTACGTCGTGTTATTGATCTATTATCTTTTTCTGCCTCTCCCTCGTAGTGCCATTTGCAAAATTTCTCGGATCTTTCTAGCGAATTATCGTTGAAAATGCTTTCTTTTTATATCATTTACTGATTTTTTGAATGAAAGAAGTAGATAATAATCAGAGGCAGATGTTCTACCTCATCCTTCCGCAAATATTACCATATTGTCTGATTATTCATTCACTCATTTCGTTTGAAAGATGAAACCTTTAGACGTAAGAATGCACCTTTCATTGGCAAAATTTTGAGAAACCAGAATCGATCGTACAGAATTCATTAATTAAAACGGAAGAATCTGTCGGGACAGCCTAGTAAACGGATGGTTCAATAGTGCAAAGAAACTATTTAAAACACGTCCCCTTTGAAGCTATTTACCTCTTCCAAGATGGCAAAAACATTATTTCAACTTTTGTTAAGCAGCAATTCAACGAGCCGGAGAAAAATTAAATTAACACAAAAAAAGATAATGAATGGCCACATACATATGGCCATTGAACGTTAATGGCAAATTAACTTTAACACATCGAAGGAAACATTACAATATTTAAAAAGCAGTGATTGAAGAAGAAAATCTTTTTTCTTCTTTTTCTTTTTATTGTCGAGAAATTCTGCAGCGAATAGCGAATAGTCAGATATCATATCGACGGATTTTAATTTTCCTTCGCTTGGGATAATTTCAATTAAAAATGTAAAAACTAAACACACGTGTCAGCTTCGCGGTTTCGTCCAGATGCTTGCGATTTAGTTTAAACCGTATTTGCAACGCTCATGTTTTCTCTCGGCTTCGTTTTAAAATCAGGATCACCGTCAGAGAGGAGATCGAGACGAGACATTTCGATGGCATACGAAAACATGGCTGCGCGAGCGCGACGAATTCTAGCCGGATGCGAGTGCAAGCGTGACGTGGGAGCCAATATTTTCACGGATTACGGATCCTGTCGAGCAAATACGAACAGGAATGGAATATCGCGTAGCTTCGGATCATCGCGAATCCATTACCGGGCCCAGGATAGCGTTGACTCTCTTTGCATACACGTGGCTGAAAAACTCCTCGGCAAGCGATCTATCGATCCTCGATCCTCGATCTCCCTCGGCGTCGCCCCCTCTGCTCTTTCACGCTGCTTCCTCCATCAATCAGGAATATATTTACATGACAGCTTTCGATCGTTCCATATTTCTCGAATGTCAGCTCGAACACTGGAAGCTTACTAAGTTAACTTTTTCAAACCGATTTTTTTTTTT